TAAGTTAGAAGGAGTGCGTTTTTCGGGAAGCGAGGTTGTTCTTCACGAGGAAAAGGATAATCTAACTCAGAAGTATCGCGGATTAATAAAAAAACTGGGGGAAGAAAAAGCAACTATTTTGCGACAGATAGAAAAAAAATTAATGATTGTAACTCCTCTCCGGCAAAAGGATGTCAAAACTGGTTATTGTTATTTTTGTGATATAACCATTGCCCCCGGCCTTCCTTACAAATTGAAAGTTGAAGAGCAAGACACCTTAGGAATTGAAGTTGCCGAAGGAGCGGCCTTTTGTTCCCAGGAGTGCTTATTAAATTATTGCAAAGAATATAAAAATCGCGAAAAACTTCGCCAAGAGGAAGAAAAAAGAAGCAAAGAAAAGATTGCCAAAGATCGAAAAATGGTTACGGAAATTCAAGGACAAATAGCCGACTTGACTGCCAGAATAAATAGACTGGAAAGAAGAGAATGAGAATTGGAATTAGTTCCGGAAAGTGACCAGGTAGAGAAGCCGGAAAATGTTGGTTTCTGGCGCCGTCTCGGTCAAAAATTAGGTTTAGCAAAAAAGCCCAATCCCCTTTCTCGGCTGGAAAGAGTAAGAAAATTAAAAGGAGAATTGAATATTCAGTTGGAGAAAGTCGGGGAAGAGTTGCAAAAATCCTTAATAATTCTTTCCCTGGACGAGCAAAAGGAAAAAGAGAGAAAAAATTTGGAAGAAAAAAACCTCCTCGAAAAACGAAGAATTGCCACAAAAGAGGAAGAAGAAATGTATGAGTAAGGAAAAATATTAAAAAAAATTTCTGGTTAGAAATTAAATATCCATATATTTATGGAAATAGTTAGAAAAGAGTGTCCTAGTTGTTTACAGGAAAGATTAATTGTTGGAGAGTATTTTGATACTTGTAATTTTTGCCGTCATAGAGGTGGATAAGAGAGAACAAATGCCATTGTGGGTTCCTGGTGTTGGTAGTAATAAGGAATACAACCTAGAAACTATTGACCGTTTTGGGAGTTTTCGAGTATTCATAGCGATAAGGACATTCAAAATTAAAAGAAAAACAGGAAGCAGAGACCATGCTAAGTTTTGATTAGAAAGGTTAGAGTTTGAATATTGCTATGGTTTTAAGGTTAGTGAAAAAAGAGAAATTAAAGATACTTGTATAGAAAAGAAACAACAATGTTTACAAAAATGATACGACTTAAAAAGACAAATGGGCCGATAGGTAAAACTAAATATTATGAAGATTAAGAGAAATCGAGATTAAAGAAAGACCAAAAACAGTTCTTCGAGAGCAAGAAAGAGTGAGGAAGTGTTTACATCCTTCTTAAACTAGAAATTAGTGAGGGAGAAATTACGGCTTTTTTAAATGATGGAAGAAGGTAAGCATTCCCGTTGATTGACTTATTAAATGAGGTGAAAGAGGTAATAAAAATGTTAATGCTGATATAATTAAAAAATTATGAATAAATAAAAGAGGAGATTATTGAATTTATTTTCCCGAAGTGGATATTGATTTAGGAGTTGAAGTATTCACCGAGGGACTAAAAGGAATTTGTTCTAATTGCCATTAAATTTATGACTAACAACAATATCAAATTCGGGGTAAACATTCCCGAACGCTTAAAAAAACAGTTAGATAGAGCATCTAAATAAGCAACAAACTACTCAAATTGAAACTTCCTCAAAAAGTGATAATAAAATAAAGAATTTTTTTAAATTTGGTTCAAAGTAAGGTTTGCGGGAATTCAGTAAAAATAAAAACTAAACTCCAACAAATAACAAAAAAATAAGAAAAGAAAAGGCTCGAGAGCGATTAATGGTTACTCAATTTGAGGTTAAAAAACAAAGTTAATATTCTTATTAAGTTGCTCCACCCAATATCTACCCTGGTTAATTAATAATTACGTTAGATATTAGTTTGTGATTTTCCTAGTGCTCGTAATGATAAGAACAATACTAATAAATAAAAATAAATATATATAATGACACGCAAAGCCTTAATGGTCAAAGCCAATAAAACCCCTAAGTATTCCAGTAGAAAATATACTCGTTGTCGAATATGCGGTCGCTCCGGATCGGTTTTTAAGGACACTTTACTTTGTCGTATCGATTTTCGCAAGCAAGTCTATGAGGGTCTACTACCAGGATGGCGAAAGGGTTCATGGTAAATCTGTAAAATATAATAATAAGCAATAAAATAATATGACCTTATCTGATCCAGTAGCTAACATGCTAACTACTATCCGTAACGCCAATATGAGGAACTATCGCACAGTTTCCTTTCCTCATTCTTCTTTTAAATGGCAAATATGTAAAAAGTTAGAAGCCAATAATTTTCTTACTCGGTGCTGATTTGACGAGAAAAACAGGAATATTAAGGTTGATATTAAATATAATAATCAAAACAGTCGTATCCACCAAGTGAAAAAGATTTCCAAACCTTCCCAACATATTCATTTAAGAGTTAAAGAATTAAAAAAGTATTGTCGTGGTCGCGGTATTTACCTTATTTCGACTCCTCTCGGCTTGTTAACCCACCGCGAAGCCTGAGAAAAAAATCAAGGGGGGTAAAGTTATTTTTTTTATTGGTTAAATAATGTCAAAAATCGCTAATCGGGTTATATTAATACCCCAAAAGGTAAAAATTAATTTAGGAGTGGGAACAATTTCCGCCGAAGGACCATTAGGGAAAGGTGAAGAATTAATCATTCCCGCCAATTTAGAAATTATTAATCAAGAAAATAACTTAATCACTAAATCTACTAATTATGCCCTGGCTGGCACTTATAACGCTTTAATCTCTAACATGATAAAGGGAGTGGTAGAAGGTCACGAAAGTATTGTGGAAGTAAAAGGAGTTGGATACAAAGTATTCTCCAAGGAAGGAAAATTGGAATTTTTTTTAGGAAAATCTCACCCTGACTATGTGGTTATCCCACCTGAATTGGAAGTAAAAGTTACAGGTAATAAAATAACAATTAAGGGCAAGGACAAGCAAAAAGTTACTAATTTGGCCGCTGCTATTAGATGCCTGCGTCTTCCCAACATTTACAAGAAAGACAAAGGAATTTATTATTTAGGCGAAGCCAAAACTATCAAGTTGAAAGCCGGAAAGTCTTTAAATAAATAATATATATATGACGACATCCATCGAGAAAAAAATTCGCCGGAAAAGCCGAAAAAAAAGAAGTACCTTAATTAAAGGTTCCCTAGAAAGACCACGGGTAGTTTTGAGTGAATCAAACCGCTATTTACGAGTTCAAGCCATCGATGACACAGTAGGTAACACTCTCCTTTATTCTTCAACCGAGGATTTTTTAGAGGGGAATAATAATTTCTCTCGCAAGAATAAGGATTATGCCAAAAAGTTGGGAGAATTGTTTGCCGATAAATTGAAAAAAGAAGGCAAAGAAAAAATTGTTTTTGACCGCAACGGTCGCCCTTATCATGGGAAGATAGTGGTATTTTGCCAGACAATGAGGGGATTAGGAATTAATTTTTAATGGCGAAAATAGAGGAAAATTATTCAGCCCCTGGAACCGAAAAAAACAATTCTGGGGAAGTAAAATTGGCGGCTGCAGAAGAAAAAAAAAACTCCGTTTCCAAGGAGTCAGGAAAAGAATGGGGTAATGGTAGGAGATCACCACGTTCTTATCTCAAAAGTGAAGTATTAGCCAACAAAAGGGTAGTAAAAGTAACTAAAGGTGGTCGCCGATTTAGTTTCACTAGTTTAGTTTTGGTAAAAGACGAAGAAAAAAAAGCGGTGGCCTTTGCCCACTCGGGTGGTAAAGAAGTAATTGTTGCTTTTCGTAAGTCTTTGCGTAAAGCACAAAAAAAGTTAATAACCTACTTTCCAGATCCGGTTCGCACTATTCCCCGGGACATAGTAATAAAATATAAAGCAACTAAAATTTTTTTAAAACCGGCTCCACCAGGCAGTGGTATCAAGGCCAGCGGAGCCCTTAGCCGATTATTCAAGTTCTTGGAAATTAAAGATGTCAGTGCGAAAATAATTGGTTCCCGACGAAATAAACTTAATGTTATTCGAGCGGCCTTTCTGGCTTTAGATAAATTAACTGGCAAAAAATATGAATACTAATAATTATTTAATTACCATCGTAAAGAAAAAAAAAATTGTTGGTCGGGGAATTGGTTCTGGTCGGGGAAAAACCAGTGGTCGTGGCCAAAAAGGACAAGGGTCTCGGAAAAGTGGTCATGTTCGTCCCGGTTTTGAAGGAGGACAAACCCCAGTCTACCGGGCCTTTCCCAAACGAGGTGGGGGCTTTAAAAAAAAAACTCCTCAACGGGTAGTTAATTTAGAAAATTTAGAAAAAGATGAAAGAGTGGTTGCTGGCCAAGTAATGGATTTTTCGCAGGAAAAGTTGCCTGTCAAGGTATTAGGAGAAGGAAATTTTACTAAAAATTTAACTATTAAAGCTGCCGCTTTTTCGCGGCAAGCTAAGGAAAAAATCACCCAAGCCGGCGGTAATTTTCAAATAGTAGTGAAGAAAAAATAATATGGCGAGTAATATCAAAAAAAAAAGAGTTAGTCGCCAATATTACGTTTTCCTTTTTGCTTGCTTGGCTAGTTTTCTTGGCTTGCTAATTTACATTTTAGGAGCCAAAAAAATTTCCTTTCCTAATCAATGGATGCCTCTAACGGACAAGGGTAAAGCTCCTGCTAAAGGCAATCTATTTTTTTCCGGTATTAGCGTTCATTTACAAGTCAACTTTTTTTTAAGTCTGTTTTTTATTTTGCTCAACCCGGACAAAATGGATCAGGTCAAACTGAAAAGGTGAAAGTTTTGAATAAGTCGAACTCTGATTTTTTTAAGTTCGTTAGTGCTTGGCCTCATGAAATACTGACAAAATGTCAGCAATCCCAAAGGTGGTGGGTGAGGTAGTATTTTGCTCTTGTGTTTAATTATTACAGTAATTAATTGTTGCTTATTGGAGTTACTTATTCAGTTAATGAATCAATATGGAATTTGTAATGCTTTTAATCTAATACTTTTTACTGAATTTATTCCCTACGATTGAATTGCTAAAAATTGAAATAAACCCGTGCCTATGCTTTGTTTATCTTTAATTACTGTTTTCTTTATTTGAATAACTAATTTAAAATGAGAAGCGCCCGTCGAGACTAACACCCTTTATAGTCAGGATAGTAAAATACTAAAAAAAAATAAGTCGAAGTTAGGATTTCGCCTGAGTTTTGGTTTTATGCCTTTGATTCAGTTATCCCAATTTGTTGGCTGGATATACAACATTGTCCTAATGCGTAAAGCCGGAGTGAACTGAGGTAATTTTAAAAGTATAGGAGGAGGTTGGGATGAAGCAAATAAAACGAGAGCAGGAAGTATGAACAATTTAAGGACTAGTTTGGATAATAAGTCTATGGATGGAGGAACTTTTTGAGGTCCCTTTTTTTTGCTTAATGATGCGAGATATATTTTTGATTTAAAAAACTTAACAGACTGGTTCTGAAATTGAAAATGACCAATTGTTGGTGCTCTCTCTTTCCTTCTTTTCTTGCGCTGGTTAGTGGTGTGAGTGCAAATGCGGAAGGTTAATCCTTGAAAAACTGGGGAAATGAGTAAGGATCTGCGAAGTAGAGGTGTCTATATAAATTATTTGGCTCCGGGCCATTCGACCCGTAATTTATTGCGAAAAATAATCAATAAAATAATACTTTTTTGGTATTTTATCATCCTAGTTTTCAATATCATTTTTGATAATATATTTAAATCCTTTTCCCCATTTTTATCTTTTTTTAATTGATTTGGTAGTGTTAATATTGGGGTTGACCTGGTTCGTCAAATAAGAACTAAGTATAAGTACATAAAAACTAATAGATAAGCAGCAAACATTTTATATGGAAGTAAAAAAAAATTCACAAAAAATCATTTTAGTATTGTTCCCGCTCATTATTAATAAGTTTGATTTTCGGTCGGGGGAAAAAGAAAGTTTTTTTGATTTAGGAAGGGCTAGAAAAAAAGAACTTAGAGAAAAAAATATCACCTCATTGGAAGGGGACAAAATACTTAAATTGGTTGATGTTAATTATAACCAAGAAGTTAAAGAATTTATTCAACACAACCCCAATTCTAAATTGCTACTAGTCAACTATCCCCATAATGAGCAACAATTTACTTCTTTGAGTTCCGAATTAGCCAAAGAGGGAAAGAAAATAAATAACATTATTCTCTTAAATATTTCTAATTATGAACTAATATTGAAGATAAAAGACCAGTATCTAATTTGTCCGCTTTGTGAAAAGATATACCAAAAAGAGGAGACAATAAAAGAAAACGAGAAATTTGTTTGTCCGCAGGATAGTGAGTATCAGTTTTCTCCGGAAGATATAAGAAAATTTAGTGAATATGTTATTGAGTATCACTTAAAAAATACTGAACTAATAATTAAAAAATTTCTCTCCGAAAATAAACTTACCACTTCCTCCATCATTCAATTAACCATTCAAAAAAAGGAAGAAATCTTTACTGGAGAAACCCAAAAAAACTTATTAAAAGTTATAGAAAGTTTGTAAAATCTCCCATCCAAAATCTTTTTTATATATAATAATATATATATAATACTATATTAATGATGATAAAGGACAAGTTAAAAGATAAAAGTTATAATAAGAATTGCTAGACTCTAATTTAATTACCCCTCATCATGCACCCCCTTTCGGGCTTCGATTTAGTTTTATAATCAGTTAAGATACTTCATGCTAAAAATAAATATATATGAGTAATGTATTATTAAAAAGATAAAAAGTAAGTATAAAATATATTTATGAAAGATAGTAGTAAATATATTAATAATTTTAGTGAATACCAAAAAGCACTTCAATTTTTAGAGGATGGTTGTGATTGCGGTTGTTATTCTGTCCTACCCAAAGAAAAGTTTGCCAAGTTAAGAGCAGATTTTCAATCTCTCTCCAAACCCGAACAAGATGCCTTTGTAATGGCTAATCTTATTTCCATGGGTGAGGGAGAAACCACTACTAGTTCCCGTTTTCCTAAAATAGAAAGAACCAATTACCGAGTTTCTTATCATTGAAATAACCGAATACCTGTTTGCCAAGAAACTTACTTCAACATGTTAGGCATAAGTCTTAAATATTTTGAAAGCATCAAAAGTCATTTATTAGATAAAGGACTATCAACTAGGGTTCATGGCAACACTGGAAAGATACCTATAAGAAAAACAAAGATGGTAATCGATGAAAACATTAAGGAAAAGATAAAGGAGTTCATTCTAAGTTATGCTAAAACTCATGGCTTACCTAATCCAGGCAGGAGCAAAGGAACCGACAACATAGCTATCTTTTTACCTACTGAAATGAGTTATAAATCAGTCCATGAGGACTTTTTAAATAGTTTAGAAGCAAACAGTAATTTAAGGCAATTAAATTATCGTCCCTTTATTAAAATATGAAAGCAACTAACTCCTCAAATTGGATTTATGTCTCCTCGTTCTGATTTGTGTGATACTTGCCATAAGTTTAGAGGTGAAATCCATTCTTGTAAAGATGAAAAAGAAAACGCAACCCAAAAAAAAAATTTGACAAGCACTTAATCCAAGCCCGATTAGAAAGGGATTATTACAATCAGAATACTAGATTAGTAGGAGAGCAAAAAGATAATGCTATCGCTCATTATAGTTTCGATTGGTCGCAAAATATCCAAGTTCCTCACTTCGACCAACAACCTAGTCAAATGTATTTTCTTACGGCTCATAAAGTCCATTTATTCGGAATACAGAATGAGGCAAATGGAGAGCAAATTACTACCTTTTTCATATTTTTTGTCCGCTTTTCATTGCTTTCTAAATTACTACGTAATTGCAAACAATTAAAAAAACGGAAATTAATTGTGAAAAGAGTAGTAATCATGACTAACTGAACAGACTTTCATAAAGAATTTAATAAATCCCGAGGCGAATCCCTTAAAGAACAATGAAAAAACAACAGTTTCAACTACCAACAAACTAAAACCTGAATTATCCCTTGGATTAACCCCCTGAGAATACGACTTAGCGTGATGACTAGTAAGCATAGAAAAACTAATAAAATTAGATTATAAAATCTTTAACAACAGAATTATTAAGAAAAAAAGTATATTATGGTAGCCAAAAAAAAAAGTAAAGTAATTGTTAACAATGGCACTAGTTCTCTCATCCTCATCAAAACTAATCAAACCGAAAAAATAAAAGGAATATTAGAAAAAGAAAAAGTTCCTTACGAAATTTACAGTTCTGAAACTAATTTAAAAGCCAAATCTTCCTCTAAAAGCAGAAATGTTAAAGAGTTAATAAATTCTCTCGACCGGGCTCGTATAAAGTATTTAGTAATCAATAAATAATTAGATGTATTTTTGAGATGAAAAGAAACAAAAACTAGTAAAAAATTGTCCTAGTTGTAAAGCAATATTCATTCCTAACCAAGGAGCCAATTGCCCAGTTACCTGTTCGGCTCGAAAATTAGAAACCAAACACAAGAAAATAGCCAAAAAAATGATTAATCATTGCTTTCCTAAAAAGAAAATAAAAGTTATTTTTCCTATTAATGTTCCCCTTTTATCAAACAATTGAAAATGAGGCTGAACGGATGACATTAAGCAAACAATTTATATTCCTTGGTATACTTTAAGGAGCAAAAAAGAGTTTTTTGAGACTAATCCCCACGAGGCAGGTCATATTATGGCTTTTGAGAAAAAATTTACTTTAACGGAAAGAAAAATAATTAAGAAAATGTATGATTTGCGAGACAAATATGCAATTCTTTTAGTAGAAGAATACCAGTTAGTTAACTACTATGAAGAGCAACAAAGAATAATAGAAAAGTATCAACAATGAGAAGGACATGACTATAATCCTTGATATTTGGAATATTTAAAATTTCATAAAAAACTGGTTAATTCTCTTTTTAAGAAATACGCTTATGGAAATAATAGACCAAAGCAATATGGATTTAATGACAAGGGAGGGGGTGAGTATAAACCTAGGGAAAGGTAAACAAAAATTGAGAAAACAAGAAAATTTCCTAATTTGTGCCAATAATTCAGCTCTAAAGAGGTAGCCAAAAGAGTGCAGAGAAAGACATTACCCGCATCAACACTTCCGTCAAGAGTATGGAGAAAACGAGGGAAAAGACGAGGGGTTTACTCTAATTCTTCCTAAAGACAAGATAATGTTCACCTTGAGAACTTTCTTGGATGAAGAAAATATTATTGGCGAGATGGAACTAGAACTAAAGAGCATATAAATAATATTATAGACTAAATATTCCTCTAAAAGGAATTAAATTGCTATATATAAACTAAATCAATTGCCTATGGTCAGAACGATGGAAGATGGCAAATTAGCCCAATTTCCAAATCATTCACTCCTAGTTTGCTAGCAAGGGCTTAATTACCAGAGTGTAGTGATTGTGATAAATAATAAATTACAACAACAAAATCAAATAATTAGAGCAATTATATACAATTTTACACTAAAATTAAGATGTAATGTCTAAAAGTTTATTTGAGTTCTTAAATTCTCATCCTACCGAACAAAAGTGCATTGATTATTTAGAGAAAATTCTTTGAAATAATAAACCAATTTCCCCCTTCGACCCTACTTCCAAAGTTTACAAATGTGCTAACAATAGATATAAATGTAAGAACTAATACTATATTTAGAAACTCCAAAATACCCTTACAAAAATGATTGTGGTCTTTGTATCTTTTCTCCTCTCATAAGAAAGGCATCTCCTCCTGCCAATTATCCAAAGACATCGGTATTACCCAGAAGTCGGCATGGTCCCTACTACAACGCTCTCGTTATACTTTCAAAAACCCCATCTTTATAAAAGAAATGTTAAAAGGTTCGGTAGAAATTGATGAAACCTATGTAGGCGGTAAGAATAAAAATAGACACTGGGATAAAAAAGTTCCTAAGTGTTCAGGGTAGAAGTTGAAAAGACAAAACACCCGTATTGATAATGGAGGAGAGAGGTGGCAACGCAATCGCCCAAGTAGTTTCTGATGTTAAGCAAAAAACCTTGGAACCAATAATCAGAAAATATGTTAAAGAGGGGAGTAATGTTTATACGGACGAATGACATGCTTACAACGATTTAAGCAAGCAATATAACCACGAGATAGTTAACCACAAGAAAAAGCAATATGTCAAGGGTAAGGCTCGGGTTGCCTTGATTGAAAACTTTAATTCCCATTTAAAAAGAGGTATTCAAGGAACTTATCACTGGGTAAGTAAAAAACATTTATCAGGTTATGTGGATGAGTTTATTTTTCGCCGTAATACTCGAAATTATGGGGAGGGAGAGAGATTTGATTTAGTCCTTTCCTCTACTGTGGGTAAACAATTGACTTATCAACAACTAACTAATCCTTACTAAAATATTACTACTTTTTCATAATTAATTTCCGCTTTTAAAAATTTTTGCTGTAATTTTCTTATCTCTCTAATATCCTCATTTTAATCGTTTTTTTCATTCTTTTTCTTACTCCTTTTTATTTTACACTAACCTAACTTTTAAAACTTATGGGAGTAGCATGGGTTTAAGTAGTTGGGTTTCTCATCCTTTTTCAATTGTTCTTTCCGCTCCTCATACTTTATAAGAGTAGGGGTTTTAAAGGTTGAAAAGGCACCTTTCTCTGCTTCTATCTGTTTTCAATCAAATATGCTATAATTGATTGGACGACCCTTATCTAAATCCTTATCCAAACTACTTCGACATGGAGAACAAACCAAAGAATATTTAATGTAAGCAAACTCAGGAGTATTTAGTTCATGCCTAGTCATATCATATACTATTTCCTGGGTGAGGGGTATTGATTGGGAGCAGTAATCACACTTAAATAAGCCTTTTGTTTTTATTTGCCAAGCCCTTTCATCCTCATCATGCCTTATAAACTCTGGGGTTTTTATTTCTTGGTTTCTAAGGTAGTTCGGCAATAATGGAAAATAACCTAACTGTTCTTTACTTCAAAATTGCTTCTGGATACATGGGGGACAAAGAACACAATACATCTTAACTCCTAATTTGTTATTGTCAAGGCAACATTGTTTCACTCCACCAAAGGAGAATAATGTTAAACAACTATCGCATTTATATCCTTGGACTTGTTGATTTTCACTCATATATTCCCTATTTTATAGGCTTTTCTCCTTGTAGAGGGCAGTTTGTAAAATAGGGCATTATGGTAATAGCAAAAGAAGTCCGAATAGCCCTCCAAAGACTAAAACTAATTGAAAGACTAATCCTACACCGAGAAACCCCTTGGTTATTATCGGCTGATGACAAGAAAATAAAAGATGATGATAGCCAAGTTATTAAGATGTTAAAAAAAGCCGTCAAACCTGAAACTAGGACAGTCGGCACCCAGACTGAAACTATTTATCTTTTAACTCCCCAAGAAAAAGAGGCCTTGGATAAAGAGATTGAGAACTACAATAAAAAACCAGGGCAGTATAGGGTTGAGTTAGGAACAGCCTGAGGCAAGAATTATGAAGTTCAAACAGAATTGGATAATACTAGACACTCCCTAATGATTGAAACCCAAGCCCGAGAGGATGCGATAATTAAAAATGATAACCTCCAAGCCCTTTATACTAGTGAAAACAAGGAGTTAAAGGATAAAATAGCCCATTTAAATCAGGATATAGATTTTATGGCTCTTAATCATGCTAAATCCTCCACTGAAAAAGAGGAGAAAATTAAACATATCCAAAGAGAAGCCCAAGAAGTTAGGGAGAAATTGGAGGCTATTCAGAATATTAGAAAAGTAAGCGTAGAAATCCAGGCTAAACCAGAGATGAAAAGCGTTTGGGTTCAGACTGAACTGACTGCCGAACAAATTAAGCAAATGGAGCAATCCATTATTAAATATCAGAATGATATCCAAAAAGAACAAAATAAAGTCCAACAAAAAGAAACTGAATTAGTCAATTTACGACAACAAATCCAAGATTTACAAACCCAAACTCAACCTAGTTTTGCTGAAAATTATTTAATAGTTCTCGTAAAAGATAAAACATGATGAGAGGCTAACAACTACAAAAAAGTAAAAAGAGAATTAGAGGCATTGGGAAAAGAAGTATGAAAATTACACACCCCTTATACAGAAATCAGAACTAAATTATTAGAATTAGTTAATTCTCTAATTGAGGGAAAAGAAACCCGAGAGCAATTAGAACAGAGTAATAAGGATTTAGAGGGGAAAGTAAAAGACTTGGAACCCAATGAGGCGGAAAAGGAATTATTGGATAAGATCGGAGATGCTAACCCAACTACAATAAAAAATTTACTGGAAAAACTTCAAGGTGATAAATGAAACCAACTCCGTTCTAATTATGAAAATATTAGACAAAGATTTATTACATTACTTAATAAATGGTTAGAGCTTTTACAAAATCAGCAAAAAATCAGTGAACTAACCAAGAAAAGAGATGAATTACAAACCCAATTAGATTTAGCCACCAAAACCAAGGAGGAATTAGCAACAGAATTAAATAATTTACGAACTGAAAACAAGGAATTACGCCCCCTTGCTTTAAAGTTAAAAAATGCCACTTGAAAAACTTATGTCAAAAAAGTTGTTTTGTTTAGAGGAGATAAATACAGAGTAGATAATGTTGTCTCTTCATGAGACTGAGAAAATTATTACAAAATAGAGACCATTAATCACCCAATATTTGACGAACAAGTATCCCAATGAGTTTCATCCCAAACCCAAAAAATAGTAGAAGGTTGAAGGGTTATTACTACTAAGTGTTTAGTGGCTGATGAAATAAAGGATACAGATTTATCTGAAACAATTCTTGATAGTTATTTTGTTGAAAAATTAAAAGAATTTATGTTGGAGAAGGACATAAAGCCTGAAACTCCCACTGGACCAACTGAGGTTCCTCAAATTACTTATCCAAAAAAATAAAATAGATTAGGGTAGCAGAAAAGTTCACTATTACCAAAATACAAGAACTAAAACCCAACCTCAAAACTTCCCTTTTATAACTGTTTTCTAATTTTCTTTCTCCCCCTAGTTAGCAAGAAAATAATTCCTCCCATTATCACAATTCCACCCACCACCAGCAAGGCAATCACTCCTCCACTCATTCCTTTTCCTTTATTATCATTAGGATTATCCTCAGTTAATTTTCCATACTTGCTACTATAAGCATTTTCAGCACTATTTAAAGTATTTTGTTGTAATTTCTTTAAGTAATTAGCCTGCTGTTTCTCCTCGGGGGTTAAATTATTCTGATTAGCCAATTTCTTTTCTAACTCCTTGGCATACTCTCTCCAAAATAAAACTTCTCTTTTTAAACCCTCTTTTTCTCAATCAAAATTAGGTTGATTTCCACTATTAGAAATATCAAGTTGGGGAGGATACATTTCTATTTGAGTTAAGTTGGAGGCTTGTTCTCAACTTAATTGCCGATATTCAACATGACATTTAGAGGAGCAAAATGCCTTATGGATTTCGTAATCAAGCATTCAACCCTTATCCATATCAGGTCATTCCGTTTTCTGACAATTAGGGCAAGTTTGAAAGTGTTCTTTTTTGAACTCCTCCGCACATTTACTATTGCCTTTTTTAACGGAATTGCCATAATCTCCATCAATACAAAAATAGTTAACTGTCTTGCGAAAGTCAGTGTATCAGTGGGTTATTCTTTTGCGATAATAACATGCTCCTTGGTCGCCTTTATCTTTTCAGCAGGAGGCATGACATCTTTCGCAAGTGTATTGGTTATTTTCTTTATCCTCGCTTTCTTTACCACCAATTATTTTATCTAACTCCTGAATGAATTGAGGGAGGGTTTTTTCGAAATCATATTTGTAATTCTTTTGGGATAATCAATAAACATAAGGAATACCTCCCCCATAGAACTTTGGATTTGCTCCTTGGCAAAGTTCTTTTAACTCCCTCGCTTCCTCCTTGGTAATCCTCTTTACCCAGATAGGAGTATATACACACCAATTCTTTTTTCCATTTTGTTCTCCCAAAGGTTTAAATGCTTCCTCGGGACATCTCTCTAATATCTTTTCAAAAATTATTTTTATTTGTTCTCGTTTTTCTTGGTTACCTTTTGGTCCTCTCGGCCTTTTCTGATTACACTCCTCACAAAAAGCAGATTTATCATTAGGGTTAAGAGGAAAAATGGTTGCTTTTCTAGTTTTACAAACATCACACTTTCTCAAATTATCATTCCTGGAAGCACATTCGATACACTCCTCAACCCCTCCTTGAACAAACTTCCCACATTTAAGGCATTTGTTAAGGTCATTCATGTCGCAAAAACAAGGCTCACCACCGAAAAGGGTTTTTCCACACTTGGGGCATTTTTCACCTCTCCTTGCTTCATGGCATTTTAGGCAGAGTTGTTTTTCGCCGCTACTATCTGCTACTTTTTTTAAATTCTTTTCTCAATCACCAAGTCTGGGAACATCTTCCATACTATTAATCTCGGGAGACTGAAAACAACCATCACATTTTAACTTGTCCCGCACACAAGGCTTACAAAAACTTTCTTTATCGTCAAAAGTAATAAAAAACTCGCCAACTTGGAATAATTTATTACATTTATCACATCTCTTTCCGTATTCTGCCATTAGCCGATAAATTTATAAGCCTTTCCTACTAATGGCAGGGAAGAATATTGATGTCTACTGTTTATTTTTTTTTTGGAAATCCGTGAGAGCAGATTTCATTTCTACCATGAATACCATAATATTATAATTTTATATCCAAAAAACAAAAATAATATTAAACGAGATTTTGAAAGAATGGTTAAAAGAATGGATTTAAATTATCATTA